TAGAATTGGATCCAAGAATCAAGAATGAGAGCAGAAATATATTGATATTGCCAAAAAATACTAACTGATAAATACAATGAATGCTATTATAATGCTGATACTGCTGTTGTTACTAATGTTTCTGCTACTAATAATAATAATGAAAATATTTTTTTTACATTTTCATTTAGTATCATTAAGATTTCCACTCCAAAATACTTTCAAAAAAAAATAAAAATAGCTTTAAGAATAAATGTAAAAAAAATTATATAATCAACCTGATTTAATTTAAATAATTTAAAAATAATTTTGCCTAGTTTTTGCATTAATAAAAAATAGTTGGACTATAAAAAATTAATTTTGTTTGGTGTTTTGGCAATTTTGGATACAAAGAGGGACTGAAAACCCTAGTATCAATTATAATGAACTAGAAGTAAATTCTTGAACAGATCCACTACAATATTGAAAGGTAATAAATTAATTATCTAGTATATTTATTTTTCAACATTTATTATTATTTTCAATAATTATAATAGGTTCATGAAGCCACCTCTAAACCTTTTTGAAATGGCAGGTGATTATCAGGCAAGAATCATTTTTTAATGTTTATTTATATATTTAATTTGTAAAAATAAATAAGTATATTATTTAATATATACTGCAATTAGTCACAATTCAATTTTCATATGCTGCAACTGCAACTGCAATCCAATTTTTATATTCTGTAATTAGTTTCAATTAATTGAGGAGCCATCTTTAATGTAAGGAATAGGTGTACAGTGCATAACATAACAAGCCATCTAATTACTGCACCGCATGTACCAAATTCAAGAAAATTTTCAATTTTTTTTATTACTTCATTACAAAAAATGCAGTTAAAAAAATAAAATCACGTGATTAGTCTCTGTTTTTTCCGTTATTAAACTGTATTTTTTCCATTATTAAACTCTGTGTTTTTTCCGTTTATATTAATAAATATACATTTCCGTGTTTTTCCATAAATGTATCATATTCATGGAATTTATAGTTCCGTTTTTCATTAAAAATGGAGGTTTTACTGTATAAATCAATTAATAAAATGGATAAAACTCGGATAAATGACTGAGCATTTACTGAATAAATCAATTAATAAAATGGATAAATTTAATTAATAAATAAATTTTCAAGTGGTCTACTAAAGATGCCTCCTCAATTAATTGAGACTAGTTGTAGGCACATGAAAATTGAATTGCGGTTGCAGTTGTGGCATATGAAAATGTAATTGTGGCTCCCATCTTTAAATGTTACTAACATGATAAAATGGTAAGTTTTTAAATTTTTGAAAGATTATGGACTAGTAACGTACATACAGCAACACGAAAATTTGTATGTGGTACATCACCCTTGTGATTTGACAATTTTGAGTTAACACCAGTCCATGTTCTGTTTGAAATTTTCCATATCTCTGAACAGGATTGTAATTGATTTGTAAAATAATAAAAAAAATAATATTAGTGTGACCATATTTTATCTATTATTAATTATTTATTTTTAGAAAATAGGTATATAGAAAATTCAGCATCAAAAACTCTAGTTTATATATTCTTGTAATAACATTATATACTATTAATAATTGTTAGGTGACAATCAAATTAGTTGATATTAGTATATTATTATTATATGTGATAACAATTCTTTCTGATTGTACACCACCAGATCTAAAAAAAGTGATTAATAATTAATAGTATAATGTTATTACAAGAATATACCAAACCAGAATTTTTGATGTTGAATTTTCACCTGTTTTCTAAAAATAATAAATATGGCCGCGTAATAATTCTTTCTGATTGTACACCACCAGATCTAAAAAAGTGATTAATGATTAGTAGTATGATTGTTATTACAAGAATATATCAATTAGAATTTTTGATGTTGAATTTTCTACCTATTTTCTAAAAATAATAAAATATGCCCGCGTAACAATTCTTCTGATAGTACACCGTCAGATCTAAAAAAGTGATTAATAATTAGTAGTGTAATTGTTATTACAAGAATATATTAACTAGTATTTTTGATAAAATTGTACCATATCAAAGCCTTTTTACTGAGTCTTTCTGGAACAACTT